TCTCATAGGTAAGGTCTCGCTCGACCCACAGTTCGCTGAAGTCCACCATGTAATCCAGGTCATGTACATCTCTACGCAACATCGAGACATAAACACAGCATGCGACCCTGGTACAATTGGTGGTAAAGCTAGCAGATAATCCAAGTCAACGACTTTAAGTAAGGATCTCAAAAGACTAACTGCTCACAACAGCGGATCCTCATTTCCCCAAACCGAGGTATAACACACCTCTAATCATACGAAAGGGGAAAACTCGAACGGTACCATCTATATACCCATTCAACATAAAACGGCTCACCTAGGGTGAGAAATCGCAAAAATGCCTCACACAACATGCACACACGACCTCAACAGGTCTCAAAGTGCCTCGACCGTGATATCCTCGGTCAAACAATCGTGGTCGATATGTGGAGTTGAGTTTCAGCATGGTGCCCGGGTCACGCCAAAAACTTACCCACAATCTCGACACACTCGTGACTTCTTGCCGAAGCAATTGTCACTGTAAATGTGCAACCATGCACGCAATATAGCCTTGCTATACTCATACTCACAACACATGATTCTACGATACAAACGTAGCCCCTCTTGGCTCCGTTTGCTGACAACACAAATCTCCTATTTCGCCAACTCGAGGAATCCCCGCATGTGGCATAGGAAACTAATCAACAAGCCTCATACACCGGGGATTGTTGATTAGGGAATTCCCACAACGACTCAAAAGATCAACATATACTTTGACCAAGATCTGGTTCAAAGACCTCAAAAAGACAAGGTCGGACTGGGTTTAATGCACTGTCACCCGAGAGGTGACACACACGCTGGCGCTGCATATGCGGGGTGTTGGTACGTGTGCATGTACCCACTCGGATACCAGCTACAAGGTCAAGGTTTGGCCGTACACACTGACCTGGGGAGTTTGGCGTTCGGTGATGGCGGCGGCAGCTCTCGTGCGAGTCAACGATCGACCACTGCAGTTGGCCTCACGTCTCTCAGCACGGGCGTGCGGGCTCGGCCACCACTTCGCGTGGCTACACCCAGTCAGGTTCGGCACTTGGTTCGAGGCATATACCAGAAATTTCAATTTCCAAATCTCACAATCTTAAGTACTCCGACAGGACAAAGGGTTTGACAACAACAATTTTCCCAAAAGGAATCGAACATTGGCATCACTGCCAGGAAAAGTTCTAACTCGGCGTTCGACACCGAACAACAGAATGGTTAGCTCGTTTGACTCTACCGACTAACAGTGTCGGCCGTCACGACAGCTTTTACTCAAGTAGCTGATCATGCCGGTAGTCCTAAACGAGTTCAACCACATACACTACCTATAATTCCCACACTTCGAGATCTTAGCACAAAGTTTTTCTCGCAAGTTTTCCAGTCGACACTGATACGACAACAAACAAATTAATTCATACAAGGCACATAGG